GGGTACCTTAGGGTACCTTGTATGAGGATCTTTGAAGGATGCCTTATGCGATGCTTCAGAGATGGAAGACAAAGAGATCCAAACCCAGAACCCCCAAAACCATTCCCAAGTGGTGAGCCCTCTAAGGACGGTCCCTTTTAAGATCCCTCCGATACTACGGCCCCGAATAGTTGAGGCACCCAAACCGGGACCATAATTTAGAGAACTCCGTAAACCCCAAACCCTAAACCCTAAACCCTTTTGCAACGAGCTTGGCTGTGCTCCACCCAGTTTTGCTGTCCGAAAAAGCCAAACCCTAGACCCTATAGGCCCTAAACCCTGAACCCTCAACCCTAAACTCTAAACCCTTTACCCTAAACCCCGACCAAGAGAATAAATCATTGGGGGGTGAACCGCGGGGCCACGAAGCTCTCAGCAGACCCTCCCTTGCTTCGCACTTTCTTGAGGGCCGTACCTGAAGGTTCAGGGTTTAGGGTTTAGGGTTCAGAGTAGATATATTATAAGTAGGGTAAGTTATGGTGGTTTCCCGAAAGGGGTCCTTATAGTAAGGGACTCCCACTATTTGGGCGGCTTACTTTACGGTCCCCTATTTTCGCAAACCCTTATAGGTACCCTAAATAAGGTTCCAACCAGTCATAGTTACAGGTACCCTGCTCATAAGAATAAGGTTCATGGATACTTAGAAGTAGGGCTATGGGTACTCATTGAGTACTCGGACAAGGGCTACCCTACTGATAACCCTACTCTTGGTAGCCCAGCAACCATATTGTATTAAGGGTTACCCTTTTGAGGTTGGCTACCTTTATAAGGGAACCTTGAACCAAAACAGGGAAAGGGTACGACTGGGCTACCCAGTGCTTACAACACATGAACCTCCAGATGTGTCCTTCAAGATCAAGAGCTACATCCGCCTTCTTGGGGCGATGTTAGGGCCCAGGGTTGTTTTATTTCGGCTCAGGGTTTAGGGTTAGGGTTCAGGGTGGGCTGTGCCTAGAGAATGGCCTTGCAAACCTGACGGGTTAGCACCGCAAATCTCATGCAAACTTCGCTCGCGCGAAACGAAGCCGCTTTAAGCCCCAGAGGCATCGAAGAAGCTGGGTATTTCTCTAAACTCTTAGGTTTAGGGTTTAGGGTTTGGGGTTTGGGGTTTAGGGTTTAGGCGGGTTTATTTACAGGAGTCCCTTGATGCGGTCGCTTACCTTCTTTAAAGGGTTCCGAAGAGTAAGGGGCGCTTGCTTACAGGGTTTATAAGGGGCCCTCATTGGACATGTAACCACCCTAAGATAAATTAGGGTAACTTTTTTGTGGGTCCCCTTTGTTGTACGGCACCAGTATAAACACGATCCCCAAAAGGGTTTAGGGTTTAGGGTTTAGGGTTCACCCCTGCCACATTTTCGCGACCAAGTGCCCCTGTTAAAGGCAAAAAACTGCGCAGGACCAAGGCGGCAATCATGCCCGCGTTTAGGGTTTGGACTTTAGGGTTGAGGGTTTAGGGTTCAGGGGTCAGTCATGCGCTGCCCAACTGGGCCTTACAGAGTTTGGGGGGGAAAATCGTCAGGGACAAAGGAACTTAAACCCTAAACCCTTTTCAAAGAGGTCTCTCTCAAACCCTAAATCCTAAACCCATAATCCTGAACCCTAAACTCTGAACCAAAAACCTAAACCTAAACCCTAAATCCTGAAACCTAAATCCTAGACCTTAAAGCAAACAAAGTCAGGATGCTCCGCTTGCTTGGTTTGCAGAGACCACTGCCTGTGGTGCCGTCGCACGTGAGGCTCTTGCTTGGAGACTTTTTGGAGTATAGGGGCGTAGGGTCGTAGGGGCTTAAGAGTTTTGGGGATGGTTTTGAGGGCTGTCGATGTTTGGCATAGTCGCAATCCTTCGGGATTAGAGTTCAGAAGTTGTCCCCCCCAAGACGGTTTAGGGTTTAGGGTTTGGGGTGGCTGCTGTGATGTGTTGGGTTGGCATGAAAAAGTCTCAACCATGTGGGTCGGCGAAACCAAGGGTGCCTACAACCTTGCTACTACCCTAAAGCCCGAAACCCTTGTAGGTTGTATGAGCCCACAAAGCACAGGTGCCGTAGCTCACCCTTCAACCCCTAAACCCAAAACCCCAAACACTAAGCCCTAAACCCTAAACCGTCTTGCAGAAATGCCATATGCTTATCTCTCCGCCTCGGCGTCCTCGCCCGCGCGTGCCAGCTTCCGACTGTCGGAATCTTCCTTCAGCTTTTCGGGTCGTACACCAAATCCTAAACCCTAAACCCTGAACCCTAAACCTTAAACCCTCTGTCAATTCGGGATGCCTGTCTGGGGTGCAAAACTTGCTGTTCACGAACTTCAGCAAACTTTCGAAACTATATAGAAAAATGAAGGGAAAGATGCGTGGCTTCCAGGTTACGGCAACTTCAATACATATGAGTTCCTTCACAGCAACCCGGTTTTGGTTCAGGGGTTAGTACAAAGCCTCTGCCTGTCTTTAGGGTTGAGGCGGCGGGCATGTCCTCAACCAGCTAGGAACGCTTTCCCTTCAACCACAACATGCCCTGAACTGCGCGCGGGGGGCACGCGCAGCTCTCCCTGAACTCCACCAACATCCACTAACAAACCCAAAACCCTCTCAACCCCAAGGGAACCCTACAGAATCCTACTGCAGGCCCTGACCTTGAGCTGCCGAACCCTAAACCAACCCAGGCTCGTGGTCTTGATACCTCCTTGGGCCTGACATACAGGGCTTGGGATGGGTCCCACACGGCTTCCCAGGCCCGAACCCTGAACCCTGAACCGCGTTTCACCCCTAAACCCTCAACCTACTTTCTCCTCCAGCACAACCCTCAACTATAAAGCCTATAAATCCTATAAAACCCTATGAAACCCTTTAAAACCCTATAAACCCGAAACACCCCACACGCCCTATAAACACCCTAAACCCTATAAACCCTCTAAACCCTCTAAACCCTATAAATCCCAAAACCCTAAACCCTGAACCCTAAATCCTAAACCCTTTTGAACCCAGGCTAGTCCATAAACCCTAAACCCTAAACCCTAAACCCCGAAAGCCACGGAGCCATTTTAGGGCAGGCCCTAGTGCCTTGAAGGCGATGAGGTGGTAGGGCTCATGGGACCCATACAACCTTGCACTGAGATCGGGGTCCTTAAACGGGGGGAGTCTCCGGGGCGAAAGAGGGGTTTAGGGTTTAGGGTTTAGGATTTAGGGTTTAGGGCTTATATGGGTCCAAGGGCACGGGAGTCTAGGGAACCTCAAGGAAGCTGAGGGAACATGAAGTCCTTGCCCCCTCCTCCTTTGATGCGGCCAAAAAGCATCCTGCAAAACCCTCAACTCTAAGCTTTAAACCGCAAAGGCAAGACTGTGATTTTCGGGTTCGTAAGCGGGGTGTGGCAGGAAGTAAGCCTTACAGTTCGGGCTACCCTACCACAACCTCCGTGCGGCGCACTACTGCACCCAGGCCGGCTGTTTCAGGGCAAGTTCACGGGTCAGAACATGAGTATCCATCTTTAGGTCGATGTGTAACTGATATGTACATCCATACATACATCTATATATATATATATGTATCCTTTTATGCTTCCCCACCCTCCTCCAACCCCCTCCCCCCCCCCCACCGCCCCAAGATCCGGGATTGCTTTTGCGAATCCGCAGGTTTACTTCCTCCTTCTTGTGCCTTTCCAGACGTTCCGGCTTCCGACCTTTGACTTTCCAGGCTTCCAAGCTCTAACCTTCCAGATGTCCACCCTCTAAATTCCCGAGTGGAAATCTAGATACTTAGAGGGCGGACTGGACATTGAGACGTTGGAAAATCACCATGGGAAGAGAAAAACTGTGGATGCGCAAATCCCAGCGTGGATCTCGTGGTGGGGGGGGGGGTCAGTATAAGAACCCTGCTTTGGAGTAGACCCTGGGACAAAGTATATACCTTTTTAGGTATAAGTAGCTATCATAGGAACCCAGAACCAAAAAATGGATTAAAGTATAGTACTCTAAAACCCAGATAAGCAAATTCTCACAGCACTCGACGCAGCGAGAGCTCAGCCGGTCACACTCCAAGAGAAAACATCGGCAGGACATGGCAAGATGTAATATAGGGAGCCTTAATAGAAGAGGGGTTTGGGAGGGGTCATTCTAGTATATTGTACAAAAGGATCAGAAGGGAATAGTACTAGTAATAATTCAGACCCTTATAGCAGACGAAGCGGATGTGGGCAAGTTCACTGACAGCACCACGGATGCAATGGTGAATATCAAGTGGGCCATGGGAGCATTGGGGGGAGGTATCGTTCAGGGAGGTCAGGCAAGTTTTGGATGTGCTGTATAAGCCAGGCACGGAGAAGAGGGATAGTGTGATGGAGAGACAAGGACATGTGCGGATATTGGGGGGGGGGGGGGGGCGGGACAAATGCGCGCACGTGCGCCCGCGTGCCCAGGCGTGCGTGCGAGTGCGTACATTTTATATACCCGCACACAAGTTTGTGCGCGTACCAGTACCGCCGGTGCTCCTGAACAGTCATGAGGCCGGTCCACAGTTTAAGTACATCGAAGTAGGATGAAGAAGCGGCATTGCCACAGACATGCAAGGTCTCCTGCCGTCAGTATACTTTTCATATACCCGCTTCGTGAATATCCATACTGGCGCAAATCGCATCCACTAAGGGGCCCCTTCGTATAGCCAAACCAACTTAGGGTCCTCTCCAAAAAAAAAGACTAGCGGGTCTGGGTAATCTGATACTGGCGCTTCGTAGGCAGAATCTTCAGCTGGTGAGTCCAGCGCAAAGTTAAGGCTGCTTAGACCTAGACCCCGACAACTGCAGTTCATTATTGACCTAACTTTACAACTCGTTGCGCATGCTAAAACTAAGCATTTTGAAAATCTGAAACAACAGGGCGTGGCAGCTGGGTAGGGCAAGCTTTTGGCTCAAAGCGGCAAATACCAAATCCACCTGTGGGGACCAAGTATCTCATTATCAACCCTAAACCCTAAACCCTAAATCCCATGCGGAAGTGCAGATGCCTTGACAAAACCATCCCGTCTGCCGGGGAGCTTTGCGATGGGAACGTGATAGATGTCCGCATGGACCCAGGTGTCGACGGCATGCAGCAGCGACACGCGCAAACAAGGAGGTACATGGCCTTTTGCCGCCACTTTCTCCTTTCAATCTCTCTGGACATTCCGCACATACCGCACTTATCTTGGTCATGTGCCCATCACTGCTTTAGAATATTCGTGCATGCAAGGGCCGAAGCACATGCAAGACTGACCGCACCAAGAGTACTGACCAAGTGTATGAAGCCCCGGCCATCATTGTAGAAGTTCTCGCGCATTTCCCAAAAAGCCCCCCCCCCCCCCCCATGTCCCCCCGAAAGGGGTACACCTAGTTTCGGAAACCCCCCACGCTGGTGTTTGTCTCGTTAAGGGGTCAAGGTCCTTGGCTTTTGGCAGCAGAAAAAAGTCAACCGTATACAGGGTTTCAGGGTTTACTTGGTAGGGTTAAATGCAGGGTCGAATGGTTATAATTACCCATGAAGCCCCTAACCCTGGACCCGAAACCCTAAAACCCTCAAAGCCCGGAAACTACAACCCTTAACCCTGAGCCCGAAACCCTAAAACCCTCAAACGCCTGACCCTAAACCCTAAACCCTAAACCCTAAACCCTAAACCCTAAACCCTAAACCCTAAACCCTAAACCCTAAACCCTAAACCGTTGCTTCTCCTGTGAGCTGGCAAGTGCAAGGAAGTCCTGAAAGGCGCCAGGCCACTGGTCAAGCGAAGGGTGAGAAAACCCCATGTATCTCACACGTTGTAGGGTTTAGGGTTTTAGGTTATTAGGGTTTTAGGGCTTTAGGGTTTCAGGGTTTAGGGTTTTAAGGTTTTAGGGTTTTTAGGTTTTTTTAGGGTTTTGGGAGTTTTTTAGGGTTGTTTAGGGTGTTTTAGGGTGTTTTAGGGTTTTTTAGGGCTTTAGGGTTGTTAGGGTTTTAGGGTTTTTTGGGGAACAATGTTCCCCACGATGTGGGAAACTGACCATTGGCATCCCCGCCATGATTCCAAGCCCACATGTCTTCAGAGTAGTCAGGCCTCCCCTGGAAAAGGTAAAGGGAAGTTAATAGGAGCCCCACACAGGAAACCCCAAGAATATAGTAGGAATACGCCTACCACAGTACATGTGTTCCTTTTGTATTCTTACCATATTTAGGGTTTAGGGTTAAGGTTGAGGGTTTGGATTTAGGGCTAGGGTTTAGGGTTTAGGGTCTATTCTTGGGGTTCCGTGTTTGGGGCTCCCATTAGGAAACTTCCAACAGGTATTCATGCCTAAAGAAGGTTAACAGAACACAGACACTGCATGTGACACATGGAGGTTCGTGGGTAGTTAGAAGTATGGTTCTCGGTAGCGTAACTCTATTTATAACCTTACTTAGGATACTTCGAACCCTTTTTTACACTGCCCTTGACCCTGCAAGTAGGCTTCTGAACATCTTTTTAGAAGGGCATGCGGATGGCGGATTGTAGCCACCTAAACCCTAAACCCTAAGGCCCTAAACCCTAAACCCAAAAACCCTAAACCCCAGGCCCCAAAGGAAAGAATGTAGGGTAGGCCAGTCCTTGAAGTGCTCGTGGTCGGACTTATGAAGCACCTCAAGTCTAAACCCTAAACCCTAAACCCTAAACCCTAAACCCTAAACCCTAAACCCTAAACCCTAAACCCTAAACCCTAAACCCTAAACCCTAAACCCTAAACCCTAAACCCTAAACCCTAAACCCTAATCCTACGGTTCTTCTGGGACTTCGGGTGCCCGTTAATCCCTGAAAGGGTTGTAACTGCCTAAACCTAGAATCACAAGCCTTTAGGACATTCCGAGCATTCCTGACGACAGGCCTTCTGCACTTTAGGGTTTAGGGGCAAACCCTTAACAAATCAATCTTGAAGCCTGGTGCCCGTAGTTTCCCCAACCCCTGAGTGCCTCAGCACTCTTCTTCTAAGCAGGGGGCCCCCGAGCTACAAGTAGACCTATGAAGGCTGAATTGGGCTGGATGATTTGGGGTTTAGGTATTCTTACCTAAACCCTAAACCCTAAACCTTAAACCCTAAACCCTAAACAGTCAGTGTGGTACGGGGGAGGGGGGCCGCCTTGCTCCTCACAGCTCGGAGCTCCGAAATTTACTGAGGCCCTATAGAAATCCGAAGTACGTCACATCCAAGGAAGGTGCCCTATAAACCCTAGACCCTAGACCCTAGACCCTAGACCCTAGACCCTAAACCCTAAACCCTAAACCCTAAACCCTACAAGGAGGGGCCCCTCACAACAGTAGCTACAGCCAAGGGACTTACAACCTAAGTAAGGATCCTTATAACCCAATCTGGGCCTCTTATAACTCTACTTATAACTCGGGAGCCCCTCCTTGTAGCCCCGGCCTCCACGAAAGGCCTGCCTTCCAGCTTCTTGGAGGTCATGAGCAGCTGCCTGAGCTGTTTACATGTAGGGGGTCTGCACTCTTAGTTGTCCAGTACCTAGGGGTTTTAAAGGTTAACCTTTGGGATTTTAAGGGGAATATATTAACCCAAAAAGGTTAAAGGTTACCTACTCTACTACTAAGCACTTGCAGCGTTTCGGGGCCAGCTTTTTGTCACAGGGCTTCCTTTCTTGAGCCCGCAAAGAAGTTGGGCCGGGCTGCTACTGCTGGTCCAGGTGTCAAATTAAGATATGGAAGTTTAATCACAACTAGCGCACGCGCAGGCAAAGCTCCGGATGTCTCAGTCAGGGCGAAATTCGAAAGTCATTGGTCATTACAAGGTCACAGGATCAATCTCGCATCACCAATGTTAACAATATGACTTCCAACCGTCTGACTCACTGCCAAGCAGGATGACCAGCAGTATACGTTGCCCTCAACCACCAACCGCCATGCTTCCGCACACAGCAAGGCACTCACTTCACAGAGGGTCCCGTCGCCATGTTTTCCACCCCTCTCCCCAGACTCAAATTGACGCAACTCGGGGCCATTCATGCATAACTTTCACACTTCCTCGTGCGCATGCATCACTTGAAGGAATGGTGTCGCCACGTGCACATATTCCTCATACCAAGCCAGTGCTCAAGCAGGCAGGCCTTCAGCTCTGGATGTCTTCCTCATGCACGGCACCACTTGCCACATGCAGCAAATTCCCTTGCAAACTTGCGCCTCCCTGAAGCTTCCGTCTGTGCTATCAGCCGGGCACCCATGCAGCACGGTCCTGTGCTTAGACCCCAGAATTGTGCTGATGTGCAGGGTGAGCTTGAGCGTATAATTCGGAGCCATAAGGGAACATTATGAAATATCTCAGGGCCTACCTTGCTGATCAACTGAGCAACGGCTCCAGTGCAGCCTAGATGCTGCAGGCAGTCTGCCTCCCCATGGATGCGTAGGTTGCTGTCGAGCCTGGGATTGGGTTTAGGGTTTAGGGTTTAGGGTTTAGGGTTTAGGGTTTAGGGTTTAGGGTTTAGGGTTTAGGGTTTAGGTTTTAGGGTTTAGGGTTTAGGGTTTAGGGTTTAGGGTTTAGGGTTCGGGTCTAGAGTTGCCCTTCTACTGGTAGGATCCGTTAGAAAGGGGTCCCCTGAAAAACGGAACGTGAATTCAGAAGAACACACAACACGTGCTGGAGGCTACAGTAAAGAGTCGCCACAGACCGTCAGCTATTGGGTCAATTACATGCGCCGTATATACATATCTACTTTTTTGATGGATTTACACACCTGTGTGCATCTGCATGTAGAGTCTATACTCCCCTTAGAACCTTAATCAAAAAATATTCATAAGATTCTCTTGGGTTTTATATAAACAAAAACAAAAAAACAATTCTCGAGGGGGATAAAGGAGTGGGTATTGTGAAGGTGGTGTTGCGCAGGTGATGGATCAACGCCCAGTTTGACTTCCAAGAGCTGCCAGAAGTGCTGTAAATGTGTAAGGGTTTAGGGTTTAGGGTTTAGGGTTTAGGGTTTAGGGTTTAGGGGAGTCATGAGGCGTTTCGATTGGCACGCGTGTTCCTGCGCGTCTTTGAGCAGAGCCACTTTGAAACCCAGCTCAACCTCACAAGCGCTAACTTACAAACTCCTGTGTCAACTCTGGCCACCAGGTATGTGGATTTGTCCAGGCTTCCCTCAAGCGTGGGCCCTAAGCCTCAAGCGTGGGCCCTAAACGCAAACCCTTCAAAGATTGACAATTGTTAGTCCAAACGGCAACCCCAATTTACTAACAGTCCCCATGCCGCCGGACTTAGATGTAGGGTCCACTTCGACTCCCGAGGTGCTCCGGCTGCTACGCAAACAGCTTTTTGCCACCCTCCATGGGGTCCTAAACCCTAAACCCTAAACCACCCTAAACCCTAGGCCACCCTAAACCCTAAACCCTAAACCCTAAACCCTAAACCGGGTTTAGGGTTCTCTGCCACCAGGCTGCAACACCTCTCCATCACCGACGCCTCGAAGCATGCTGCGGAAACTGAACATCAAGGACTCCGCGTCGGAGCAGTTGAACCTGGCAGTGTTGTGGAGGCTTCTCAAACCTTTGGGGTCCCATGATTCTAGATAGCATCTGCCCTAAAGCTAAGACATGGGAACCCCTCACACGGCCCACAAGTAGATACTATACATGGGTACATGGACCCTTGCTTCGGGCCCTTTAAGAAAACCCTCTCCGAAAAGAGCACGGGACCTTCGCAAATTTCGCGAGCATGCACTGCAAACTTGCGGTCCAAGCCCTAAACCCTAAACCCTAAACCTGAAACCCTAAACCCTGAACCCTAGACCCTAAGCACAGCCCTCACCGTGTGAGCCCCCGAACTTGAGCCCGAACCCTTCGACCGAAGGTTCCCTGAACTTGCAGGACGTACGCACCAAGTGCAAAGCCCAAGAGCCCTGGGCCCCTGTCTTTTTTTGGCCCTGAACCCGGAACCCTACAGGAACCCTACAGGAAACACCAAAAAGTTGGAAACCTTTTGCTAGGATTCCCTATACTTTACCATTAAGGAATTGAGGCTACTGAGTTTCCAACTTTTTGGCTTAAACCAAAGCCCACAGGGAAGTGAGGAGCTGAGCTCGGATGTTTGCGCGCACGCCGGCTTCGATCATGGCCGACATGACCTGAGCAACGTCTCATGGCTTTGACAGGACATGAGACCACCAGAAGGGGCTCCCTGACTCTAAGGTTTTTATACATGCATACATGCATGCATACATACATACACTATATATACTATACACAGAGAGCGTATACCAAAGTACTGCAGAGTCCCCTCCTATAAGTAAATACAAAATATATATATATATATATATGTAGATCAAGTGGTCCTTTTAGAGCAAACGCCCCTCCTTTAATCCATCAAAGGGTAGTATCGACAAACCCCAGACATCGAACCCTAAACCCTTTCATTGCGAAGTGAGCGGTTTAGGGGTTTCGGGTTTCGGGTTTAGGGTTTGGGGTTTGGGGTTTAGGGTTTAGACTGCACAAGCCCAGCGACAAGAGCCAGGCCCAGGACGACAATCTGCAGGAAGATGCTGAAGCCTGCTTGAGGTTTATGGGTTGGGTTTGGGGTTTGGGGTTTGGGGTTTGGGGTTCGGGGTTCGGGGTTTGGGGTTTAGGGTTTAGGGTTTAGGGTTCAGGGTTTAGGGTAACCAGTTATTTTTTGCAAAAGATGCTGAAGCCTACGACGGAAGCGGGGCGTGCCCTCGAGGAGCAAGGTTTTGGGCGCCTAGAGGAGTTCAAGATACGATGCTTTCAGTTAACATGGGCAGTTATAAGTAGGGTTAGAAGTACCCTACGAAAGGTTAGAAGTATAGCTTCCCTAGACTCGAAACCCCCCCCCCCCCCCATGAACTCCCCGGAATGTACTAGCCTAGACCCTAAACCCTAAACCCTAAAGTACTGCTTTTGATCGACCGAAAAAGTTTAAGGTGCTGTGTGGGAATGGGCGGGAGGGGACGAGGGAAGCCGTATTGAGTTCAATTCCAGAGCGCCGCGGTTTCAAGCGCAGGCGTTCGGAAAGCACCCACAAGATCTCGCAAGGGCTTTAGCTCACACCCTCAAGGTACCGTTTTTTAAGGCGGCACATACCCGCTGTGCCACACCTCCGCGTGCTCCACAAGGTGCGCGGGACACCCCCACGTGAAGCTGGGATATACTCTAACGTTAACCAAAGAGTAGCACGTACCCCATATGGTTGGGCCTTACAGGGGTTCATATACAGTAAAGGAACTGTAGGGTCCACATATGTACGATATGGGCACATGGACCCTTAGATTAGACCCTTAACCCCCCGGAACCTCACATCTTCTCACCCCTCACATGCTTGGAGGTTCATGGGTAGTTCTCAATAGGGATGTGCGTACAAAAACTCCAATGGAACCTGATTTGCGGTACTTCTAACCTACTTGTACCTACCCATGGGCCTTCTAGTAGCCCTAAACCCTAAACCCTAAACCCTAAACCCTAAACCCTAAACCCTAAACCCTAAACCCTAAACGAACCTCCAAGGGCTGAATCCACGACGCGGAGCCGGGATGCTGGAGGCCACCCGGCCCTTTGAAGTCCGACCAGATTTGGCATGCAGACAGCAAGGCCTGGTAGTACTTGGGGTTTGGGGTTTAGGGTTTAGAGTTTAGGGTTTAGGGTTTAGGGTTCAGGGCTACTTGGAGGTTCATCGGTAGTTATAGGCAAGGTTAAAAGTAGGGTAACTGTGCTTATAGCCTTACTTAGGGTACTTCTACCCCGACTTATAACTACTCATGACCCTCCAAGTAGTGTTTACGGCTTGTCGCTCAAGTTTTTGGGGCTGTGGAAGTTTCGACAGTTCTGGATTCCCCCAAACCCTCAAACCTCAACATTCCTAAGCCCTAAACCCCAAACCCCGAAACTCAAAGGGGTTGGGTTGAGAAAAAAAACTTGAACCTGTGACCCAGGACACCGCAGCAACGTGCAAGAACCGAGCAGAGGGCTCCGGGCAACTCTTACAACGACTGTCCGGCTTGAGGCTCCAGCTACAAAGGGCTTAGGGTCGCATTCGTACCCTAAACCCTAAACCCTAAACCCTAAACTAGGGTTCTTAAGGGAAGGGGCTTTCAAGGGGGGTATGTAACCTAAGGTTCCCAACTACTCCCCACGACTCCCTAAGGCTCCCTAAGCTTCCTTCAGGTTCCCTAGCTACCCCCCATGAACCCCCCACCCTCAAGAACCCTATTTTAGGGTTTAGGGTTTAGGGTTTCTGGCAAGTTACCAGGAGTTTCCCCAAGGCCCGAAAACATGTCATGCTCTAGAAGCGTGCGGGATCAGACTGAAGGGGGATGAGAACTCCCGCTTCCCGGCACGCACACGTGCGTGTAGTTCGCGAAGGTGTTCATCTACATATACACACATACTTACATAGTTAATTCATATTACCCAAAACCCTGAACCCTTATATATATATATAAAGATATATAGATATATAGTTATATAGATAGATATAGATATACATATATATATATTTTTTTTTCATACGAGCGCCGGGGGTTCATCAGCCCACGACCCCTGATCTCAGCCCACCCCAGGGCACACAGCTCAGCCCAAAACAAAAGAAGTCAGCCCAAAACCCTTTCCCCGAGGGCACAGCGGCGTCAGCAATGCCACTCACATGACAAAACGTTGGCGTTCTCCCGCGTGGAACATAGTTTTGAATGCTTTGGTATCGGTTTGGAGCGGTATCTCATGATCCTTTCCCCGAGGGCACGCCCACAAACCAGCAAAACATAACGTGCGGAATGAGACTTTTGAAAATGTTGGCGTTCTCCCGCGTAAAACATAGTTTTGTTCATGCTTTGGGGTCGGTTTGGAGTGGTATCTCATGGTCCTTCCCCGAGGGCACGGTCACAAGACAGGAGGAACAAAAACATAGTATCTCATGACTTCTTCCCCATTGAAAACACGGCTCGTTAAGATGTGTAGGGTGTTGAGTTTAGAGCATTAAGGTTTTGGGGTTTTGCTGCTGTCTTCCGGCACCAGCTGCACCTGGGCGTTTGTGGTGGGACACCATCGATACCCCATCTATACCAAATCGATACCACCGCGATACCCAAAACCCACAAAACAAGGCCGGAGTCAATTTCTCTGTCACAGCTTTCTGATTCTGATGATCGCTCTCAGGCTCAGGACCTGCTACGTTTGGTGGGCGAGCTCACTGCAGACATAACGCAGCTTAGGGTTTCGGGCTTCAGGGCTTTAGGGTTTGGGTTTAGCGTCTGGGGCTGAAGCTTTCAAAGTGGAGCCGACATTCGTGCGAGCCATAAAAAAACACCCGTCTATTCACACCAAATCCTGCCGTGCCCTCGCGTTTCCTGGAAATAAGCTGCTTTGTCTTGCAAGGTCTCTTTGTAGCAGCAAGTTGCAAATCCCCTCGGCACTGATGGATTGGGCTAAGTTCCGGCTGGTTGGGCTGAGCAACCCCCGCTACCCAGTATCTCAGCCGCCAGCCCGATATACGCCCTTCTTTGACTACAAGCCGAACACGACATTGGAGACCTCAAAAGGGCCCCCCCCCCCCCCCCGGCACGGAAAACCCTAAACAAGTGCCCTGAACCTAAAAACCTATTTGGCAGTGGGTCAAAATTCGGGTTGTCGCGGGGGGTCCCCCGTCCCTCTGTTACAAGCCTTGTCGCGGGCAGGTTGTTTCATACCTTTGTCGCGCCGCTACTGTGAACCCAATTTTCTTAGTTGGGTTTTGTAAGGCTTTAGGGTAAAGGGTTTAGGTTTAGGGTTGGGGTTTCGGATGAAGGGTTTAGGGACCGCAGGGATTTTACCGGAGAGCCATTAAAGCCTGAACCCTGTAAATAGAAACCCTGGGCTTCTCGTTCAAGGTTGTCCTACGGATGGGCACCTGCTGGCTCGAGCAGTCGCGCGGGTTGTCGCGGGTATGTCGCGCCCTGTCGCAGGCCTTGTCGCGGACTTAGAGTGAAAGTTGCTGCAGACACGCATCAAGGTCGCATCGAGATTGGCAATGAGAAAATTCAATGGTATTGCTGTCTTGTCGGGGGGGGGGGGGGGTGTGTGAGCAAAACCGGGTCTATTTAGAAGCTGGGGCTTGTGATTTATAATACAGGTCCATATACCTAAATGTAATAAACCTAGAAGAGCACGGCTTCTAAATAGACCCTACGGTCGGATTTCAAAAGGACGTTGGCAGAAATTAATAATTTTAATAATTTTAATAATTTTAATAATTTTAATAATTTTAATAATTTTAATATTTTTAATAATCCTGAGAGGCTCCCGGAAAATTAAAATTATTAACAATATTAAAATTATTAAAATTATTAATTTCTGCCCTGAGAGGCTCCCGGAAAATTAAAATTAAAATTATTAAAATTATTAAAATTATTAAAATTATTAATTTCTGCCATGAGAGGCTCCCGGAAAATTAAAATTATTAAAATTATTAAAATTATTAAAATTATTAAAATTATTAAAAATATTAAAATTATTAATTTCTGCCCTGAGAGGCTCCCGGAAAATTAAAATTATTAAAATTATTAAAATTATTAAAATTATTAAAATTATTAAAATTATTAAAATTAAAATTATTATTTTCTGCCCTGAGAGGCTCCCGAAAATTAAAATTATTAAAATTATTAAAATTATTAAAATTATTTAAAATTATTAAAATAATTAAAATTATTAAAATTATTAATTTCTGCCCTGAGAGGCTCCCGGAAAATTAAAATTATTAAAATTATTAAAATTATTAAAATTATTAATTTCTGCCATGAGAGGCTCCCGGAAAATTAAAATTATTAAAATTATTAAAATTATTAAAAATTATTAAAATTATTAAAATTATTAAAATTATTAAAATTATTAATATCTGCCCTGAGAGGCTCCCGGAAAATTAAAATTATTAAAATTATTAAAATTATTAAAATTTCTGCCCTGAGAGGCTCCCGGAAAATTAAAATTATTAAAATTAGTAAAATTATTAAAATTATTAAAATTATTAAAATTATTAAAAATATTAATTTCTGCCCTGGGAGGCTCCCGGAAAATTAAAAGTATTAAAATTATTAAAATTATTAAAATTATTAAAATTATTAAAATTATTAAAATTATTAAAATT